AGAATAGTTAGTAATAAACCTTGATCGGATACGGTAATACTTCTGGATCACCTCCAGACACAACTGTGTTGTCCACTATTTCATCTCTGACCGATGTAAACATCAAAAGCATCACTTCAAACAATAAAGTTGATCTATTATATGAAAATATCTGGACACGACCTCCAAAACTACACTACGAAAAATTGTAAGAAATTGTAATTGAGTTTTAAATTTAATATAATTTTACACCTGATGATGGCTTAATAAAACCGAAACATGTTGTAACTGTTCCAATTGTAAATCGATTATTCGATATGGAACACAGAATTATATTTTAATTATCTTATTTTAAATACATTGTGATTTGACGGAATAACCAAATAATTTAATTTTAACCCAAAACGTAGGTTTTTAAGGAAAGAACGTCTCTCTCTCTCTGTAGCAATGCTTGGGCTGATTTGTAACATTTTGCACGTGAGTTCTTTGTTGATTTTGTGAATCTCAGTAACCTTGAAGATGCACACCCATTCGTAAAAGACAATTATACAGGATAAAAATTTTCGTCTGGAGCTCCTTAGGTAAATATTCATTATAGCGGAAAATATTTCACCTTCCTGGTTGATGTTCGCCCGAGAAATCCCTTCAGTGGTTTCGAGATTAAACAGGAGAATTTTCAGTGTTACATAACCTCTGTACTTGAAAATCCATTCGTAATTCGTGCAAATTATGGCTAAGAATGAAGGAAGACAAGAATTGTACATATTTGCCACTTTGAAACACAACTATTTCAGAACAAGATCCATTATTACCTGACAACCTGACATTTTGTGACGTCATGAACGCCTATATGACATCGGTTATATTTTTGTAGCGATAAGGATCGAACCCCGAACCTCTGATTGCTATACACGTTTAAACTTTCACAGATATGGGAAAAACGAAAAAAAAAATACGTAAACTTAAATTTGTATAACTGCACTCGAAAATTTTTCTTAAATAAATTAAAAAATGAAACTATTAGTGGCTGAAAGTAACTGTTTGTAAATTGGTTACTACTCGTTTTTTTTTTTAAAAAAAGATTTTAGAGACGGTACAATGATTCCATTGACACATAACTCTGTTTGCAACTTAACAGATCCATTCTCTGTTCTTAAAGACCGGCATTCAGAATGTTTATGTAGATGGAATGATGAAGGTATCAAAATATAAATAGGAAATCAGAGTTGTTTATGAATATTTGTTTTGTAGATAGCGGCTTGGGTCCAATCACTATCTAATCTGACGTATTTACAATAGTGGGGAATGCTGGGAAGAGTAGTGATGACATCTACGTTGCAGAGCATGAAACTGCTTGACTTAAAGCTTTCGATAAACACGAAATAAATTTGATTCACTTTGCCCTGGCAACTTGGGGGATACTTTTTGAGGGGGGGGGAGGTTCCAGATTAAGCTCCTCTAATGAAATGTGTGGGATTACAATCGCATGAATCAGTCACGACAAATTCGATGTACACACGAGGACATCCAAACTTTCTAAAATAACGTTAAAAAAACAATTGACGTAAGTAACTTAAATAAACTTAGACGTAATAATAATCACCACATTTTAAGAAACTAATTTGGAAAATCTTACTTAAGTGCTGTTTGTTTTGATATGGTTAGTAATATTTGTACAACAGTACATGTTACATGAAGTGTTATAAATAATTTAAATCTACGAATTTTAAGCTCACAGGCCTAAAATACGATGGGGTCCAGTACCTCGCTACATTAATCATCTCAAGTCGGAAGTTTGTCTGAGTAATATTAAAAAATTCTCACGTTCATAACACAATGCTTCTACAACGATGTTCCGAAAATTAGTCTGTTAATGCTCTTTTTTTTAGAATTAATATCTGTAAAAAAATGTTAAATTTTTGTGAGCATTACGCAGAATTATTGGTTCTTAAAGCAGGTAGTAGTTGAATAAATCTCCATTAGGCTTTAAACAATTTTAGGTTTTACATAAAAGCCTCGTCCATAATTAATTAAAAACTTGACTGGTTGTAAAAAAACGCATTTAACTAAGTCTGTAGTGGGTCTCACTCGACTTTCTTACACTAAATTGTAGGTAATTATTACTCTACTAAATTAAAATAAGGTATTAGGTTAATATAATATTTGCATTTAAATAAAAAATCATTTTTGTTGTTGCTTTAGTATAATTAATATTACATTCTACATAGCTTCTACATATGAAAACGTAAAACCTGATGTAAAATTAATAACTTAATTAATACGCATAATGAGAACCTTTGCTTTATTCCAAAGTGGAACAAGCCTACTGACTGGCTGATAGACCCTGGCCGAGCTGCCTGGACCGTGATTGGTCTTGGGGTGTCTTGTATACTGAGGACCACCACAGACAACATGCCTTCTGGTATACTGAGGACCACCACAGACAACATCCCTTCCTACGTACAAGTTTTGTCATGACATATCTACCTGAATTTTAAAAAACCTTACCAAATTCGTAACGTATCAAGCATTAGTTAATTGTGATCATGAACAAGGCAGAGTTTGAAGGCGAAGCAACTATCCCTTGATGACGTTATTTAATGTTTATGAACGCTGGAGTCACAGGTTCGAATCTCTATTGGAAAAATTAACTTATATGTACGCCTATGTTTATAATGGTTATTTGTTCTGTAATGACGCAAAACTTGTAAATAGATCAGACTTGTATAAAAGAGTTCTAACAAAAAATTCTAATTCTAATGGGCAGAAAAATCCAAATTGATAACAGAATAAGTTCTGCAAATCTAAACATCTGCGCAGATGTAGAATGTTTTTGAAAAAGTGTCATGTGTCAGATTTTATACACCGTGAAGCGATATCAGGCTTTTAAACGGAAATAATATAAAACTCGCTTAACTACAGAAATATCTTAAGTTCAGTGTCACTGATTTTAGAGACACAAAATGATTATTTTCAAATTCTGTATTCTATACCGCAGTTGGTAATAAAGCGGATTATTTACAGCGTTTATATAAAATGTCCAACCTCAATCACACGTCCAAATACACACAGAAACTATTTCAGATGATATTTAAATATACTAATATTTCCATCAAGATATCTGGAACGGTTTAAAAATAATTTAACACTCTTAGGATTATATTTGTCATGATACAGACACGTAATAAATTAAATCCAGTTCACTTAAAATTTTTAAGTGATAATATATTATGCGTGAGTTTGTTTAGCCGTGGTCTGTATTAATTCAAGAAATAAATAAATAAATACAACACAAGTGTTTACTCAAAATATGGGACAGAAACAACGCTTTCAAAATTTTTTAAACCAGTCACAAAATAAAACCAAGATTAGTACAAGTTGCGGAGAAGGATATCGAGACATATTTCCGTGGTCACCACCGAACATTGTGGGACATGGCCGCTTATGTCAGAGAATGTACAGCGGCCATATGTCGCACTGAACATCGCGGACGAAAGCTAACACACGGCTGATACCGGCCACCTGATGACTTCCAAAAATATTATAGACGTAACAGATGTGATTCGAGAAGAATTCTTTTATTTTAGGACGGGATATTTCTCATTTTGAAACGTCTGAAAAATTAAAGTATCAGCGTGAATGAGTAGAACAAACATTGTATATATTTATGAGACTCGCATCACATAACAAACTTCACCAAACACTCGGCTTACCAGTGATTTATCAGATACAAAATGGGGCAAATACAATTTGTAGTAATCAAATATAAAGCGACCAATGAACAAGAAGGAACAGCTGTAAGTTTCCATTTCATTCACGAAGAAGTTTATACATGTAAATGGTAGTATTATCTGTCAATGCTGGAAAGAAATTTACGTGATACTTTAAAATAGGTAGATTATTGATTTATTTAATTTATGAGATGATAACGTTGCGTCATATTGTGATGATTATAATTGTTTAATTTTTTAATGATTATAATTGTTTAATTTTAACCGTCTAATCACAATAAAATATTTTATTAAATATTAAAATATTATTACTACAATTAACATTTAATATTTAAAATGTTTAAAATATATTAAAATTAGATTAGACGGTTAAAATTAAACAATTATTTAATTTATTTCTTTATTAATTCTTGCGTACGTCACTGCTTCGAATGAGAGAATGATAATGATGAATAATGAATTGGAAAAGAGTTTTCTCGGGTTCTGGCTACAGGATACTGCCTGCGAAAAACGACGGCTTCTGCAAGAAAGCTGACCAAACAGTAATGTGGACAGTCGAGAAGGGCAACTTTTGAAATCGGGGGTTGGAGGTTGACATCCAGCGAGCTAACAGCTCATGACCATAACACTTACATAATAATTATAGAGAGGGATTCTTTGAAACGACCCAAAGTACAAGGAAAATTCCTAAGGCCCGTTCACACACGGGAGCCTCAGAGTGCGACCCGGGAGTGGAGGTCTCGTCCGACGTTATCTGTCCGGTTCGCACTCCTTTAAAAATTATCGAGGGACCATGACAAAAATCGAATATATCCGAATGTGAGTGTTGCAGGTCCGGAAATGTTCACGGAACCATTACTGTCCAAAAAATGTTATCCTGTGACACACGTGGTCGGCACATTAAAATAGTAAATCAAATAAATATACTATTCTATGACAATGCAGGCAATTTATTGATGAATACGTATCGTATGTGTAATGGAAAACAAACGATAAAGAAATGTGGTTAATGAACGGTCGAATAAACAAATTCAAATCACGTGATGATGGCTGTCCTCTGATATGTAGCACAGCTTGGACTGGTAGCTAATTGGTCATCCATTGCCCTGTTCACACTCGTGGAATCAGAAAAATCCCCTGAAACGTCAGCCAACACCTACCAGAATACAAGACCTGATGCTGAAATCCGGAGTTTTCATGCAAAAATAGCGAAAATGCTCGCTGGCCACTTTAACGGACGAATGGGCCGATTTGTCGGCCGGAAAATAAGAACAAGAAAGTTTACTCTACCTGAGTTGGATCCCTCATTGTTGTTGTTGTTGTTGTTATTATTATTGTTGTTGTTGTTAACGTTGGTCGTGTTGTTGTTGTTCTCGCTGTTGGTCGCCTTCTCCAGGACTTCGTGGTCTTCCTTGCAGAAGAGGCCGTCTTCCCTCAGGGCAAATTCGTCGCCCGGAATCAGCTGCCGCTCGCAGGCGCTGCACCGGAAACACTCGATGTGGTAGATTTTCGTCTTCGCCCGCATTACGAAGTCGTTTCTGCTGAAGCTGAGGCCACATTTGTCGCACTTCGTCCCGAATAGCCTGCGCACGAGAACCATCTCATGAGAAACGTGCTTCGACTATTGTCTTACCAAATATTTAGTTATCAAAAAGTCTGTTTCCTCAGATTTAAGGTTATGACGAGCTGTCTTCTGGAATGCGACGTTTAACGACGTTTCAGACTTACCTGCCTCCGATATCAATGTTCTAAGGCGATAGCTTCACTCTCGGTTCGTATTCGCGAGATCTTTGGTTCGAATCTCGGCTCAGAGGCGGATATTTTCGCTGGGTTAATTAATTTTTTCCCGAGTTCCACAAATCATTCCAATGTCGAAAAAAATCAAAAACTCTTTGACAGCATTGTTTTTAACTGAGTACTGTACGAAGCTATTAATTGTAATATATTTATAAATAGTTATTTAGAGAAGATTTGAATGAAACGGCCTATTTTAAGGTAAGTTATTGTCTTGATATTTTTGTGGAGGAACGGAGGAAAACAAAGAAATGTGTTCCTGGCTGGCGGTCAGACGTATAAAAACTGTACCGATTAGCTTGGTCCATCTAACTACCCCAAATGTGTTAACTTTTATTTTATTATAAATATATATTCTGCACAGAAAACATGGATACAAGTTACGTTTCTTGAGCTCAAAGTAAAACCCAAAAACGAGAACTGTGTGTGTTCTCTGTGAATGCGGAAGCCGGCTGCATGCGGTCTCTGCCAGACAGAGCAACGTGTGTCGTATCACTTGGTCCTAGTGACAGCTGTTCCGCTGATCCAGTTCCCAACCCCCAGGGAAAACAAGGCAGCCAGCCTAAAGGGTCGTGGGTTCACATCCCTTGTGGTGAGATCGAATTCCACCACCTAGCGCCACACACGATGACATACTCGCAGCATCCCGTATGCCACGGACCTGAGCGGTTTATAGGGGTCCACTGAATTATGACGTTTATAACAGCAAAAACATTTTACGTCCTCAAGCCAAGAGACGGAATTTGAGGTTTACATGGCGGGGAGTCTGAAGATCAGTGGTATTCAACCTTTTTTGTTCGCGTACCCCCAGATGTAATTTCTCTTCAACTTTGTACCCCCAAAGTTGTTGGTGTATAATTCAAGTTATACATAGTATATAATCTCCCAAATCGAATGTCCTTACGTCTGGTTCTCCTGTGGCTAACCCTAAATCTGACCCTGATTATTCAGTTTTTATCATAAAATAATATATATATTTTTTAAATTTCACGTACCCCCTAAGATGTCTTCGCGTACCCCCAGATATAATTTCTCTTCAACTTTGTACCCCCAAAGTTGTTGGTGTATAATTCAAGTTATACATAGTATATAATCTACAT